TTAATATCCAAAATATATAAAGAACTCCTACAAATCAACAAAAGAAAGACAAGCAATCCAATTAAAAATGGGCAAAAGACCTAAATAGACACTTCTCCAAGGTGGACATACAGATGGCCATGAGACATGAAAAAATGCTCAAAGTCACTGATCATCAGAGAGATGCAAACTAAAATGACAATGTGGTATCACCTCACTTCTGTCAGAATGGCTACCATCAACAAATCAACAAATGGCAAGTGCTGGCAAGGATGTGGAGAAAAGGGAACTCTAGTACACTGCTGGTGGGAATGCAGGCTGGTGGCGCCATTATGGAAAACCGTATGCAGTTTCCTCAAAATATCAAATATGGAACTGCCATTTGAACCAATGATCACACTACTAGAGATGTATACTAAGAAACCTGGAACACCAATCAGAAAGAATGCATGAACCCCTATGTTCATAGCAGCACAATTTATAATAGCTAAGATCTGGAAACAGCCCAAGTGCCCATCAGCTGATGAGTGAATAAAAAAAGCTGTGGAACATTTACACCATGGAATACTCTGCAGCAGTAAAAAAGAAAAAAATCTCTTACCCTTTGAGACAGCATGGAGGGACCTAGAGAGTATCATGCTAAGTGAAATAAATCAGTCAGAGAAAGACAAGTATCACATAATCTCACTTGTATGTGGGATCTAATTAACAAAATGAACTGATGAACAGAGCGGATCCAGAGACATGGAAACATGGAACAGAATGCAGAATCTCAGAGAGAAGTTGGGGGAGTGTGGGTGTGTGTGAAGTGATCAACCAAAGACCTTGTATGCATATATGCATAATCTATGGACACAGACAATAGGGTGGTGAAGGCCTGGGGCAAGGGGTAGGAGCAGGCTAGAGGAGGTCAATGGGGGGAAATTGGGGACATACGTAATACTTTCAATAATAAAGATTTAAAAGAATAATAATAATAAACATATCCTTGGGTGGGGATTAAGAAAAACTGAAGAAAATAAAATAAACCTAAGCATTTTTATTTTTTTATTTTTTATTACATTTTTAATTCTCACCCAAGGATATGTTTTTATTGATTATAGAGAGAGAGAGAAACATCAATGAAAGAGAGTATCATTCATTGATTGCCTCCTATACACACCGCTACCAGGATCATACCTGCCACCCAGGCACATTCCCTGAGAAAGAATTGAACAAATAACCTTTTTGGTGTTCAGGATGATGCTCCAACCAACTGAGCTATGCACCCAGGGTCTAAGCATTTTTATTAATGAAGCAATTTATGTATTTTTTAAATTAATAAGTATGCTTATCACCTATTAACATGTGAAAGGTTAAATAATAAAATATGTTAGACAATTAAAGAATCCAAATTTCAAAAGGGGCCCTAGTGGTTTGGCTCAGTGGATAGAGTGTGGGCCTGGGAACTGAATGGTCCTGGATTGAATTTTGGTCAATGGCATGTACCTTCATTGCAGGCTCTTGGCCCTGGTCTGTGACTTGTGGGAAGCAACCTGTCTCTCTCTCTCCCTTCTACTCTTTCTAAAAATCAATGGAAAAAAATATCCTCGAGTGAGGAATAAAAATAAATAATGATGGCATAAGACAATATATAATCAACTTTCAGGGAAATGTGCAAAAATATTATCAGTGTAAGTTTAAAAGAGTAATGTATCAGTGCTTGTTAGCCGTTAGCCACATGAAGGCAATATTTATAAATTATACAGGATTTAACCTAAAGGATTTCTAAGATTAAGATAGGTGAAATAGGAAGAGTGCAGTTTATTTAAGATAAGATGAATTATTTAAACACTGCACCAGATGGAAAAGTACAAAAAAAAGAAAGAAAAAGGAAACAAACAAATTCATTTTAAGCAGGAGATTTCTGTTGAGAAACTTAAAAAAATCATCTGAAAGGTAGTTTGAGACTTAGACATTTAACAGACAGAAGGGTGAACAGTATCAAATATTTTATTCAAACAATTCTAATGTTTTCATAGACCAATTTTTAAATAGAGTACAGGATTGATTAAAGATTGAAAAAAAAAATACAAGCAAGAAATCCAAATGAACAGTGGGTTAGAGACTTTTTACTCAACAGAATATTTTCTTCAAATGAAATCTAACTGATTTCCAACATGTAAAACAGGAGAAATGACATTGTTTTAGAGCAATAGACTTCCTCAGTCAGGTTGGTATTTATGTAGATAATTAATGGCAATACAACTTTAACCAATGGTATTTCCTAGAATATGAAAAAGTTTTAGTAACATATTAAAGTGTGCTTGTTTATACTAAATTATAGATGATATTTCTAAACAGATATTCCAATCAGGGCTTCTGAAACAAGGTCTTCAGGTTGCAATACATTGAGATAGAAGATTATTTAGGTAGCTTTAACAAGAGAGGAAAGTTGAACAGCCAAAGATAATATCATTCCCTGTATAAGACCTCTCAGTAACTATCCATCACCCACAGGCAGAATTCCAAACTCCTTGTCAGAGCTGCTGAGGCCCTCTGTGATCCGGCATGTCCTCCCTCCCTTCTCCTGCTCTTCTGGGGCCAACCTTCTTCATTTGCCAGCTCTTTCCAGCCAGAGAACTATTTGAGTTCTCCAAATATTTTATCTTTTCTCTTTCTCCAGACATGTGGTACTTAGAATACCCTCTTTCCATTGGTCAGCAGATCGCTGCCAAGCTTAGGACTAGTTCTAGCCTCCCTGCTCTCTGTTCCTACAGTATTTGATATTGTTGATTATTTGCTTAATATTGGTCTTCCCATTGGGTTCATGCTCTGTGAAAAAATACTCTCACCTGACACATGATTGTTGAATGAAAGGATGATAAATTCAGGTGTTGCTGTTTTTCAATAGACTTTATTTTGTTAGATCGGTTTTAGGTTAACAGTAAAATTGAACAAAAAACACAGATTTTCTGCCCTGACTCCCATGCATAGCCTCTGCTACCATCACATCTCCCACCAAAGTGGAACCTTTTTGGAAGTGATGAACCTACCTTGACACATCATAATCACCCAAAGTCCATGGCTCTTGGTGTTGCTTATTCTGTGGTTTTGAACAAATGTATAATGACATCTATTCATTATTATGGTATCATACAGAGTAGTTTCACTGTCCTAAAAATCCTGTGTTCTGCTGTTCATCTCTTCTTCCCCTTAACTTCTGGCTGCCACTGAACTTCTTGCTGTTTCCACAGTACTGTTTTTCCAGAATGTGTGCTATAGTTGGAATCATAGTATGTAGCCTGTTCAGAATTGCTTCTTTCACTTAGTAATATACATGACTTGATGAATAAGGCTGCTATAAAAACCTATATGCAGGTGTGTGTGTGTGTGTGTGTGTGTGTGTGTGTGTGTGTGTGTGTTTTCATGAATTCAGTTTTAAACAGGATAAGTGAAAAGACACGCAAGTAAAAATATTCAAAAATCTTCTGGACATTTTCAAGTTAGCATTTGTAAGAGAGATAAAAACTAGATATATACATTTGTAGTATTCATCCTTTTTTTCAAGTTCTTTAATGAAAACTGTCCATATGCCATTTATTGTACTTAGTGCTGGAAATGCAGAGTTCAGAATTACAGAGTACTTTAGTTTAAGGATCTCACAGAATCTTGGGGGAAAAAAAGAGACATGATACAAAATAAGTATTAGGGAGTTATGATCCACTCCGTTGATGGAGCAGAGAAAGCTTCACAAAACTAACAGCACTTGAATTGAACCTTGAAGAAGCACCTGGAGGTTACAGGCGGATGATTTGAGCATAGTCATATACAAATTTATACTTCAAAAAGGTGCGGCGTAGGCTGGTGCTGTGGAAATAAACTATAAAGATAGGTTGATCAGCTGGAGCATTGTTTTTATGTCCTGCTAATGAGTTTGAACTTTTTTGCATATTAGCCATAATCACTGAATGATTGAAGCATAGGTGTGATGTGAATGAAGATTTTAGAAATATAATCTGTTTGCCTGTATGGAGGACAGTACAGAACACATAAATATGACACCCCAAGAGACTAGGAAAGCCAGTGGGACAATTCACATATAAAGGAGACTGATCTGAGATGTGGAAGTAGTAGTCAAGTGTGAGAGAAAGATTTGGAAAGTATTTAAAAAGTTGAATTCATAGGAAAATTACATCTAGTACTGCTTATTTTATGCTTATACCTCTTTTTAAAAGTTCATTAAGATCTATTTGATTTATGAAAATAATGGTACTACAAAGGAAGTATAAATAGATATACTACTGATTTTATGTCACAAGGAAAACTTTTAGAATTAATTTTCTATATTCCCTAACCAGAGTCCTCAAAAAATGCTGTTTCAAAAAAATGTTATTTTTCTTTTTTAATGTACATTTGATAGGACTAGGTTTCTGTTTTATAGTTTTCAGATGTCAAATATAAGGAGGCATGCGTTTCTGCAAAAAAAAAAAATTGAGACTTAAAAGAATCAAAGGGCTATTGAATAGTTTTGTAGCACAGTGTCCTAATGATTAACATGTGACAGGTAATCAAAGGTTGGGGTAGATCTAGAATAAAAGTAAATAAATTTCTCAAGCACTTCTCAGATGATCAATATTGGCGTATTCTCTTGGTACACGAGGATGAACAGAAGAGGTTAAATCTACAAGCATTAACTAATTAATTGTCTTTAATTAGCAATTTGGTTTTTCCACATGAGTAACTTTGTTGGAAAGTTATTGCCTTTTGTAACTGCAGGGTAACAATTCGGTAATAAGATCCTTTAAGAACAAATTGAGATATGGAGGAAATAGATGTAATTATGATTAGAAATTAAGACAACAGCCAGGTGATTTACTATGGTAGCATTGATAACCTGAAAGCAGGCGGAAATAAACTGAGAGAACAGTTCAGATACTATTGTTGCCATTGTGGTTGTTGCTTATTGCCAGAATCATTGTGTGTGTGCGCTTGCGCGTGCGTGTATATGCAAATGTGCTCTTTTTCTCTTTTCATTTCAGCTATGACAGTGATAGCTGGTGCCCACCATTACCAGTACAAACATACTTGCATCAAGGCATGGAAGATGAACTGGAAGAAGACGATGACCGTGTCCCGACACCTCCTGTCCGAGGAGTGGCTTCGTCTCCGGCTATTTCCTTTGGGCAGCAATCCACCGCAACGCTCACTCCATCCCCACGGGAAGAGATGCAACCCATGCTGCAAGCTCACCTGGATGAGCTGACAAGGGCCTATCAATTTGACATAGCGAAGCAAGCATGGTAAATATCATCAGCAGGTCAGGGGGACCTGGCTTTCAAAACATGGAGAGAGGAAATGTGATTTCCTATTAAATTCACAAGAGGTTTTCATGGAACTATACTTCTGAGGCTAGAAATGCTTTTGTACAACTTTTCAATCATCTAGATAAGGAAATTGACTGAGGAAACATTAGATAATTTGACCAAAGTTTCATAACTAGTTAGAGTGAATCGGAGCAAGAAGTTAGATCTGTTGAATTTCAGGTGAAGCTGCTTTTGGCTACACCAGAGTCTTTTCTAATTTATAGTTTAAATTTAATTAGCTTATCCTTAAACTCACTTCCAATACTATAATAAAAGACTCCTTTCTAGATTATTTAAGGTGCCTATAATTAATTCTGTATGTGGTTGTGAATATATAAATGTAAGCTTCTGCAAATCACATATGGTCAGTGTCAGTTATTTAAGACCTTCTTTGGGGTGAATTAAATGAGACAGGAAAAATTACAATATTAGTAACAGTAAGTGAATTAAAAAAAACAGAATAATTACAACTCCAAAATTGTTTTCTTTCTAATCAATCTATACACTTGCATAAGGTATAAATGGAAATCTACTTAGATGCCCTGTGAAAATACGACAGGAATACAAGTAGACCAATCCTCATTATTTTGTGCAGTTATTGTTCTCATTTGCCCTCTCTTCTCGGCTTTTAAAATGATATCTTAATAATATACCTTTGATTATCTTCTGTTAATTTATACCATGTGCTTGAAATTAGAGTAAATTTTTATGACAGATTATTTGCTTCTTTTTCCTAGTTCTGGCTACTGAAATAAGTTGATAATAAGATAAATCTTATTCACAGTGTTAATGAACTTTTTTTAAAATACAACTAAATACACAAAGATACACTAAAACCAGGAATATCACTTAAAGCTTATTACAAACATAAGGTCTTTTCTTAGAAATAGAGGTTCTTGAACTTTCACAATTATCAGATTTTTTTCAAATTTTAAAACAATCTACTTTTAAACAGTGTTATATTACATCAGACTGCTTTATAAAATAACACTTTTTCAGATGAAGCCGGAAAATTTCCTTCAAGTGAACTTATGAAGCTGTGCAGTTTAGTTACTTAGCACAGAGTCCAGCTCTGGGTTCTCAAATATGACTAAATTTGAAAATCACCTGGATAGCCTTAAACTATGTTGATACCCAGGCCCTGGCCTGGAGAGTCTAATGGCTTGGTGTGGTATTTGACTGAGGGTAGCCAGGTTGGGGCCACCACCACTTATGAGTTGTATGACACTGGGCAACTTATTTAACGTTTCTGTGCTTCAGTTCACTAGAAACCCCACAAACTCACAGGAAGCTGTTACACTCAGTTCAGTGTATTATTGTGAAAAGATACAGATTAAAGTCAGCCAAGAAAAGAGATGCCTGGGGTAGAATCCAGACAGCTCCAAAGACACACTTCCAGTTGTCCTCTCCCAGCGGCAGTGTGCAAGGAGTGTTGCCCACCAGGGAAGCTCACTTGAGCCCTGAGGTTCAGAGTCTTTATCGGGGCTGTCACACAGACATGGTGGACTACCTGCATGGCTGACCTCTATCTCCAGGCCTTCCAGAAGGCAAGCTGATACCTTGTGACTCAAGGGTCCCACCATAAGTCTCAATGCTAGACTTTCTGGAGGAGCTGAAGGCCTCCAAAAAAACACACAACAACAACCAAAGACATTTTTATCAGACAGAACATTCTAGAGCTTAGAGATTACCTTCCTGGAGCACAGGGCAAAGGCCTGACATCTCTTTAGGCAAGGAAAAGCTTATTACTATGCATCATAGTTTTGTAGGAATTAAATGAGTTTGCACTTGTGTGGTTCTGGTAAAGAAACTAGCTATATGACAGCTGATATTATTCAAATGGGCTTGGGTTTCCACCTGAATTGTTCACTGCTATCTTCTACGCTTAGAGGAGGGCCCACTTAGTGCATGCTCCACAGACATTTCCTAAATGAGTTCACCTCCACCTGCTCCAAGTGTCCATAGAGCAGACCCTGCTTTCCCAGTATGTTTCTCTTCTGTCCAGCAATCCCAGAATGTCCTTGCTGACTCCCATGCAGGGATATGAGACACAAGGACATAAGACCTTGCCCTTCTGGAATGGAAATGACTCTCGTCTGGGCTGCACATCGACATCACAGGAAAAACATTTACAAAATAGTCACTCCCAGGCTTAAACTCCAGGGATTCTGTTCACATTGACCCCTGAACTTCTCAGCATAGTGCCTGCCACGAGGAGATATTTATAATGTGTATACCCTCTTTCTGCATTTCAGTATATCTCCTAATTCTGCCAAACTCAAAGTACAATTTCACCCCTTAATGTAGCTCTGGCCCATCAAGAGGTGTCAGCAGTGATGTAGGACGAGTGTGTTAGACTGTCTGGTCCTCCCCAGGAGCCAAGTGTCCACCCTTAAGGAGAATGAATTGTGTATATAAATGGCATCTTATATTCACTTGCTCCTGACTGGGTTCACTTCTTCCTTGATTCACAAACAGGATTCGAGGCCACACTTCCAGGAAGGTGTAATCATCCATACTCAAGACTTATTGTAGAAATAGTTAGGGAACCACCTGACTTTTCAAAGAAGGCTTTGTTATGAATTTCAAACAATCATGTGGGACCTCACAGTCCTGGTCTGTTAAATTAAAGATGTGGGCCTCATGATATACAGGTGGCTACCAGAGCTAACATATTAGGTTTGCTTTTTAAACTGAAAGATCTAGATTCTAGAATCTTATTAACATTGGAGTTGGCTACAAATTTAAGAATGCAGTTTCAAAAGGAATAGTAAGCAATGAAATATTTCCCTCAAAATGCAAATATTAAATAAAATGATCTTATATCTTTAAAAAAAAAACTAACAGTAAAAATGCATAGCACTTGTTTTATATCTCCTTATATAGCAGATGTCTTTTAAATACTTTGTATAAAAAAGACAATGTGTCCAAGCATGCAGTATATTCACTCTTTAATGATAATAACAAATGCAGTGTGATTTCATTTAGCATTTCATGGTTTACAGGGGTATGGAACCCTTTTCCTGACAAGAGCCATTTGGAATTTTATAATGGCATTAGCGGGCCATACAAAATTATCAACTTAAAAATTAGCCTACTATATTTGGTCAATCATTTAATTAACTCACCCCTAATGCTTTGGCAGGGCCAGATGATTTCAAGGGCCTTGTACAACCCAATGGGCTGGACATTCCCCACCCCTGATTTAGAAGAAACTCTTAAATACTCAAAAAGTAAACCAATTGGACCCCAGCATCCAGCTCTACATTTTACCAACCATGTGATTTGAAAAAAAATCATTTAATTGGACTTCACTTTAATAATGTTGAAAAGAGAGTTCTATCTGCTTCACAAGGTTGAGATGAAAGGTATTCATTCATTCAAAGGGTTTACTTACTGAGCACACCTGAGGGCCTAAACTCAGTGCTGAGAGGAGTCTCTTCTGCTTTCAGGTGCTTAGACTTCGGTGGGTGGGGCCGATGCACCAATAAGTAGCTAGAACACAAGGTGGTCATTCCTCCTCTAAACTGGTTTAAAGTGAAAACACCTGTCAGCCTGATTCGGGGCTGGTGCAGGATGAAAGCCTGTAGGGCAGGGACTGTGCTCAGGGTTGGGGACAGGGGCGTTGGTATTAGGCCTTTATGTGACATCTCTTCTTCCTAAGGGCCAGCAGGTCACATAGGTTACACAGGTTGAGTAGAACTCCGACACTAAGATGGGAACAAAATTATCATATTCTTTTTGGACCAAAATACAGTGGGGCCTTGACTTACGAGTGTCCCGACTAACGAGTTTTTTGAGATACCAGCTGTCTCTCGGCCGATTTTTTGCATTGAGTTGATAGAGTAATTTGAGTTAACGAGCTCCTTAACGAGCTCGGTCTCGGAACGAATTAAACTCATAAGTCAAGGCCCCACTGTACAGTCAACTTTATTTTTTTAAGATATATTTTTATTGATTTCAGAGATGAAGGGCGAGATAAAAACATCAATGATGAGAGGGAATCATTGATTGGCTGCCTCCTGCACACCCCCTACTGGGGACCGAGCCCGAAACCTGGGCATGTGCCCTTGACCGGAATCGAACCTGGGACCCTTGAGTCTGCAGGCTGATGCTCTATCCACTGAGCTGAACCGGCTAAAGCTACAGTCATCTTTAAATAGTTATTTGTGACAAATATGCCTATTCTCCTTTGGAAGATTTTTTATACTAAATAGTGCTGAATCTGTATTCTTTTTCTCTGTGGATCATCCTATAAATACCAATTGAGGGGTATTATAACCTAAATTGTTGTTGTTGTGTTGGCAAGTTACGTATATGTAGCCCATTGCCTCCGCTGAAATGTAAGAAAGGAGTGTGAGCTTCAAAATTAGTCAAAGGAAAACAAGAATAGAAAATTAGTTACCATAGCATGCTGTTTAATTCTAATTACAATTTTGTGGAATGCTAACAAATATATTTCATCCCCATTTAAATTCTAGGCACATTCAAAGCAATAATCAACCTCCACAGCCCCCGGTTCCACCATTAGGTTACATGTCCGGAGCCTTGATTTCTGATTTGGAAACAGATGTTCCAGATGATGATGCTGATGATGAGGAGGAGGCTTTAGAAATCCCCAGGCCCTTGAGAGTGCTAGAGCAGACGCCCGGATCCAGTATGGACAATCTGGATAGCTCTGTGACAGGTAACAGAATGAATTTATTAGGAATAACTGATCTATTTGTAACATTAAATGCATCAAAAATCAAATTCTTTTTTATGTAAGATTTATTCCACTCCATTTATCTCAGTAACATTTTAAATAGGCCAATATTAAACACAAAACTCAAAAAGGATTTGAAAGTATTTTTGCTTTGCTGCAAAAATGATAAGAAAATTTCATGAATTTTAAAAAGCTTTAAATACATGAAAGAAAACTCAATTATACCCAGGGTTTTCATGAAAAGTTCACTCTACTGGAGAACCAAGTCTTTTATATAAAAACCTTGACTTTTGGAAATGATATATTTTATGTAACAGGAACGACATACAAAGTGAATGCAATCTTAATATGATTTTTGATATTTTACTCTGTAAAATCATTCATTGATGAAAAAAAGCAAGTGTTCAGAATAAGTATTTCTAAGGTTGCAGGGGTATTATTTTTAGAGTGAAGAAACTGTATAGAGAGATAAACCACACATTTATGCATTTCATATTGTTGGGTCCAATAACTGCTTCTCTCCTAAGAAATGTATTGCTGTTTACTCCTCTGGCTTCCTCTTGCCTTGTTCACCGAGGGGAAGGCTGCAGGTGGTACTCTAGAAGGATGCTCTCAGTACTGAAGCCTATTTCCGAGGATTAAAATTTATCAAATTTTGTCAGAAAAATTTAAATTCTAATATATGCACAATGAATATGGAGAAAAGTAAAAACATCTTTCTATTCAAGTAGGTACCATTTTTTACACACACACACACTCACACACGTCTCTTGCATGAACATAAAGATGTAACTGCTAAAAATGCAAGTTTGTCTTTGCATGTCATTGGGTCTTCTCAAGCAATCACACAGGCATGTACAGTAGGGCCTTGACTTACGAGTGTCCCGACTAACGAGTTTGTTGAGATACCAGCTGTCTTTCGGCCTATTTTTTGCATTGAGTTGATAGAGTAATTTGAGTTAACGAGCTCCTTAACAAGCTCCTTAATGAGCTCGGTCTCGGAACGAATTAAGTCAAGGCCCCACTGTACATTCACATGGTAATGACCCTCAGGTAAATGTATGTAAGAACCAAAAATTATAGAAATCAGCATGCTAATGAATATTATTCTAACATGTTTATGCTTCCTTCAAACACATTGGCTAGTTTAAGGGTGCTAAGTTATGTGGGCAATATGTTTTTAGTAGAGGATACTGATCTTACCAAAAATTACTGTGAGTTCTAAATTTGTGTGTGGTGTGAGCAAATTAGTCATTACTTTCACCTGAATTCTCTGTTAAAGATTTTCATTTTCATGAAATTAATGACCATTTTTACTAATTAGAAATAACAGTGATATTCCCTTCCCTGAAATTTTAAAGTCAACCAAAATGATATTCCAATTATACCATAGAGGTGGGCTTCTAAGCCTGTACATAAAATTATTCAGCCCTAACGGGTTTGGCTCAGTGGATAGAGCGTCGGCCTGCGGACCCAAGGGTCCGGGTTTGATTCTGGTCAAGGGAATGTACCTTGGTTGCGGGCACATCCCCAGTAGGGGGTGTGCAGGAGGCAGCTCAGTCCGCTCTCTTCTTTCTGTACCCTCACATGGCAGTTAGAGAGAGAGCACGCTCTCTGGTCTCTTTGTAAGGTCACTAATCCCATCAGGAGGACCTCACACTTGTGACTTCCTCTAAACCTAATTACCTCCAAAGGCCTCTCCTCCAAGTGCCATCACATTAAGGGTTAGGGCCTGAACATATGCATTTTAGGGGGATACCAAAATTCAGTCTGTAAAATTCAGTAATGGAAAATGTATTTGCCAAATTGTTATATCATTTAGAAATTCTCACAGCAAACACTTATTAAATGCCTAATTCTTCCAACCACTCAGCTAAGAATTGAGATTTAATAATGATATAATAATAATAACAACAACTTGCACATATATAACCCTTAGTAAGTGAAAGGCAATTTTCTAAGCAGTGGCCTGTGTTTTTGTGTGGGCCTTAGTGAGCTAACAATATGTCTTACATTTTTAAATGGTTATAAGAAAATAAGAGCCCTAACCTGTTTGGCTCAGTGGATAGAGCGTCGGCCTTCAGACTGAAGGGTCCCAGGTTCGATTCCGGTCAAGGGCATGTACCTTGGCTGCGGGCACATCCTCAGTGGGGGGTGTGCAGGAGGCAGCCGATCGATGTTCCTCTCTCATCGATGTTTCTAACTCTCTATCCCTCTCCCTTCCTCTCTGTAAAAAATCAATAAAATATATTTTTAAAAAAAGAAAATAAGAAAAAATCAACAACAAAGACTATATGGCAGAGAAGGCAAAGCCTAAAATATTTAGTGCCTGTTACTTTATATAAAAAGTTTGCTGACCCTTGTTCTAAACTTTTAATATATATTAACTCATTTAATCATCATTTTATTTTTTTATTTTCAGAATTGATAAACTACATACCTATATTTATTGAATTTATTGAGGCTACAACAGTTAATAATATAGGTTTCAGGTGTACAATTCTATAATACATCATCTGTATATTGTATTGTGAGTTCACTACCGAAGTCTAATCTCCTTCCATCACCATTTATCCTCCTTTTACCCTCTTTGACTTGTCCTCAACCTCCCTTCCCTGTTTATTCTCTTTTTATAGAAAAGGAATTGAGTCACAGATGGGTTTAAAGTCCTTTTCAATGTCACACACTTGATAAGTTATAGAAGAAGATTCAAAATCAGTCAGTCTTATGCTAAAGATAAGTTATCATAATCCCTGCTCTGGAAATGCCCAACTTTTTCTAATGTCTGGCTGTAGCATATTTAAGAGGAAAATTGTTTTCCAGTCTATTATTTAACATCTCTCTCTCTCTCTCTCTCTCTCTCTCTCTCTCTCTCTGAAAAACAGTTCTTACCTTTATACATTAAATCAAGATCAAAAATAGTAATTTTTAGAAAAAAACTCATTTTTCTCATATTTATTTCTATATTCAAGAATAGTTACTCATTCTAACAAAATTCAACTCTATGAGCACTCTTTTAAAGAAATCACATTTTTATAATTTTAATTTATACTTAGAGTTTAAACCTGTTTGGTTGTAGAAAGTATAAAGATGTTTTGATCACAGCACAGCGCACTCTGGGGCTGGAAAGTGAACATGCAGGACTGTGTTAGTCTTCAGGAATATGCTTGAAATATTTCTTCGTAAACGCCAAACCCACATTTGGGTAACAGGATGGGAAGCCTTCAATACCTCTTTCTGTAACGTTTATGGTGGGAGTCCAGTGTAAGTGTTTCCTGAATTTAATGGCTCCACCACAGGCAAAAAGAAACAGAAGGCAATGGGAGAGGAGGCAGGAGGAAAATGTCCTAAACGTGGAGCCAAGATCGGAACTGCCACGTTGATCACAGAGAGTAACACTGAGAGCGAGTGCTGGGAAGGGAAATGGGAAAAAAAAGTTTCCTTCTCTGCTGGACCCCACAGAAATACCGCAGCTGAAAGGAAATTGTGACTCTATATTTTCTGTATTTTATGTCTTTTGAGGTTTTACTTGAACTCCCAAACCAGATCATTTTGAAATCAATAAAACCTGGCAGCCTCAACATCTTATTGGACCACACAGCTTTTAGAAAATTGGCCACTTAAATGTGTGACCTGACTCCTTGCTTTTGTTGCAAAAAATGTAAGAAAAATATTTCAATATTAGGGACATTTCAGAAATATTGCTAAAAGTAATTGTTGTTTTCTTAGACTACTTCCACAGCTTTGCTGTATTATAAAAGAAATTAAATATAAACTTCAAAACATAACAGATAAAAGGGGAACATCATCTATTCAGTTTTTATCTGAATGGAACAAGTTAGCAGGTGTGAAATGTCCAAAGGAAGATATTTTATAATTACTTATTTTACTTTCTGTATGTATTACAGATATTTTTCTCTCTGAGAAATGTAGGGGGAATTGTTGCATGTTTACTTTTTTTTTTTTGAGTGAAAGAGGAACCTCTAAAGATTAGACATGTTTTCCTACATCTAGGTAGAGATCAATATTTGGATTCATTTGTCCAAAGACAATTATAACTGAAGATTTTATTTAATAGACTAGAGGACTGGTGCACAAATTTGTGCACGAGTGGGATCTGGCCGGCCCGCCCCGATGGGGGCAAATTGGGCTGTGCCAGCGGGGGGGAGGGGCCAGGGGCAGTTGGCCAGCTGGCCCCAACCCCAATCGGGGTGTTGGGGGCCAATTGGTGGCCAGGCCGGGGCAAGGAGGCTGATCAGGCTCCAAATCAGGCTGGTTGGCTGCCGCAGTTCGCATCATAGCCATCGGTTGTTCTGGTTATTCTGGTTCTGCCATTCCGGGCACTGGGCTTTTATATATAGAGATAGACAGATTGTACTTAGTAGGAAGATTTTCTGGATTAAATATTGACTGAAAAAAATGGGGGATAGCCAGTTTTTGTATCTCATAAAAATGGTAATGCAACAATTAGCAGGGTGATATTATAAAGCACAGACTACTCTAGCATATTGGATCTAAGGATAAGCATTTATCAGCAAGCAAGGATTTAGCATAAAACGACATGTAAATGAATTGATGACTGATCATAAATTAATTTTAGTGCTGAGCTGTAATAGAGACACAGCAAGATACCACTTTATCATGGTATTTTACTGCTCAGTGACATTTGAGCAACAACTTAATGTCCTGTATGCAGTTCTTTAACAGCTGGAATAAATATGAAGGGTTATTTTCTGTTTTTTGTTTCTTTTTTACCTTTCAGCAATTTTAAACCTGAGGTATTTGGAAAGATTGACAATGTAAACACAGATAAATTTGGCTATGTGGCATAAATTAATTTTTCATTAAAGTTTAAATATGTATTATGTTTGGGGCTATAACATGTCAAGTTGCTATGGATTGGTTGTAATTTGTAAACATTCTCCACCTGAGTTGTTTCACTTAGAATCATTTTAATTTTTATATTTACATTAACATTTATA